ACTTGGCCCCCCCCCCCCCCAACTGCATTCTACTTCACCCTAAACAACCACTAGTGAGGACCATCAGGGCCCCATGAAAGGTCACTTGGAGGGTGCTGGTACGGTAATGCGCTTGCAGCCTGTGAACATTCAAAATGCTCCGCTGCATGTCGTCACGCTGCCACTCCAGCGGCTTAGGGTTTATAGGGCTTCTTTGTCGAGGTCACAACTTTTTGGACTTAGAGCTTTCAGAGAGAGCTTAGGGAGTCTAGGGCATCAAGCACAACGCTGTGAGACTCAGAGTTCAGAGTTGCCCTTAACCCTCCGCCCGTTGCTTTGAATCCACACGAACATGCTTTCCACGGAAGGATTCCCAGGCAAGGCCGTTCAAAAAACACAAGCCATCCAGGAAAGAACATGGGCGCACTTCCGTTACCGGTTTAGGATTTAGAGTTTATCCACTTTAACGTGGCTGGGCCCAATAACTTTTAAACAACTCTTGATGGCAGGGTTAAGTTGCTGAAAAACAGCTTGACTTGCCAGTTGATTTTGGGTTCAGGCCATTGTCACTACTTTCCTCCTGGATTCCTGGATTTGTTGCTACTGGGAATGAATCAAGGTGGCGGAGACCTTTTTCCCCTCACTCAGGCGTCGCGACTATCTGGCATCCCACCTGGCGACGGGGTTTGTCTATATCTGTGGAGTGTAGCTAGTGCTTTGATGGGGCTCCAAGGTTTCAGTTTCAGGCTTGGGGATTAGGTGAGGGCTGCTGCTCGGTCGCTGCTGCTCGGTCGGCTTAGGAGAGGGCTTGTGGATGGGGTTTAAGTTTAGCCAATGCTTTCATGAGGTCCCAAAGGGTTGAGGCTTCGGGGTTCGGCTTCAGGCCCCCCTCCCTGGCCAATTTTTCTGCGGTCAGTCTCCAAACATCAGGCTGCGTTCTTGCTGCCACTTCTTCCCAGCTTCAGTCTCCAGGTATGAGCACATAGCGTCGCGCAAAGTGCTATTGGCCGGATTCTTCTCTGACAAGCGCTGCAATCCAGTCGACGGCATCAGGCCTTTGGTTTGACCAGTTGCAGCGTCAACAGTTGCAGGCAGTGCTTTCTGCAGAACAGGCGGAAGAGTTGAGGGCAAGGACTTCGCCAGGGATGCAGATGTTTCAGCTCGAATAGCAGCAACAGAGGTCAGGCCTTCTGGAACGAGGTACCCTTCAGCAGCATACAATTGAAGGTCCTGCCCACTAATGCTCTCAGCCATCAGTTCTCTATGCTCACGAATTTGCGCAACCTCAGGCCGAGCATGAAGCGCAGACCTTTTCGCAGACAACATCAGAGAGGCCACCTGGTTGATTATCAGGCAATCTCGCTCAGTGCCCAGGCACTTGACTCCAGCGCTCATGAGGTGTACTCGCGCCATAATGCTTGCCGGGGCGAGGTTCTGCTGCGAATCCCATTGCTGATGTGCTATACTACCAAGTCTTTCACAGGAACTCTCAGGCCCACGTAAGACTCGGGCTCGATGATGGAGCCGTACTGCGTGCCACGCCGATGCACGGGCTGTCACCTCCACACTGCCCTGTGCAAAAAAAGGCGAACAATCGATGCTTCTGCTGATGGCGTCAGGCTGCACAACACGGTTGGTGGCAATGATCCTGACAACCTTCCCATTCCAGCTGCGCAGATCATTGAACACAGTCTCCGCTGTTTTCCTTCTCTTTCGGCGCGCATGCCTGAAAACAAGCTGAATGTCTTGCACAGGCACTGAGTGTGTCGACGAAGCAGCTGCAGGCAAATTGCCGAGGAAACGGCACACTCTGTCAATCACATCCCACTGCACCCTCAAAGCTGCTGAGGGCAGCACTTGCCTGATGAGATGTCGCAACCAGCCCAGCACCCATACCGGCTGCACCGTGTACGAAGATGTGCGCCACCATTTCTCTGCAGAGGCACGTACATGTTCAGGTATTGTCATCTTAACCATTTGCCCATCCGCAGCACGTGCGACACACCGCACTCTCAGGCACAGCAAGCAGTACTGCCGCTCGATTTCCTTCGGGTGCATTGTGATTTCAGTTCAGAGCCAAACTATCTAGATTGAAGATACCGACTTCTAGGATCAAAGCGATGAGCGATAGCCGATAGCCCTAAACCCTAAACAACAAATCCTAAACCCGGAGCCCTGAACAGAGTCCTTCAACTGGAGGTCCCAGCTATAGCTACGCAGCGGGAAAACATTGGGGTCAGGCCACGCAGTTTTGGACAGGAATGGCTGGAGTAGTTTCCAAGACTGTGCAAACGCTGCAATCTGAGGGGGTGTTGGCGGACAGCTGACAAGTTGATCCCAGCAGAAACACTCATGCAGGCTTGTCAACAGCAGTGCCATTCCATCATTCACACCAACACGCCCTGTCAGCATCTGGAACTCAGACAACAGTTGCCTGACGAAGTGCATGGCCCCACGCAGCCCTTCCAGAATTTTCTCGTAAGAGGCGTATACAGCCCTGGGCACCAGGCAGCGCGAACTCCAGCCGCAAGTACAAATGCCAGTTTCATTCCAGGAGTGCTTTTTCTGGTCGCCACTCAGGCGATAGGACTGCAGGTGCTTCCGGAAAAGACCTGGTCTGCTATTTCGTCCTGGCACCAGCGTTGGCATCTCCTGATAGCGGGGCAAGTCAGTCCTGCTGGACTCACTGTTGCAGGAGCCAGCAACCCATACAGGCACTGAGAACTTCTTGTGGCAGAGGCTGTTTCTGCATTTTCTTTTGCAGCGCCCCTGATGCACTCTCCATGTGCACAAGCGTGTGCCGCTCTTTGGTTTAGCTTGGAGCTCAGACGCACACTGACAGTGAGGACCCACCACTCTGCCTTTAGTGTGGGACTCAGGCAAGGCAAGTTCCAGCTGCACTCCTGCGACAGAAGGAGGAACAGAAAGAAGCATCTGGTTGGCATGCTTCAGGAAGGTAGGAGCGAACTGCCGGTATCTCTTGTCGGAGCTCCACGCCACCAAAAAACCTTGCCAATAGCAAACAAATCATTGATTTGGTTTTAGTAGTCAAATGATGAATGAAATGCACGCCAATTGAACCTGTCATACTTAGTTGCTTGCCCCATGAAGTACTACCGATAATCCGATATTTACAGATTACTGTCACATACCGAAATCCAAACATGTCTTACAGAGACCAACATTCAAGTATACTAGTGCCTGCAAAGAATAGGAGAAGGAGCAGGCTCTTTCCCGAAGCGAACAGTGTTGAGCCAAGAGAAGAGTCACCATGATGTTCTGCTCGACACGCTCATAGCCCTGCAGGATGAATTCCAACTGTTTGACGAGCAGCAGGTCAGCAGACTTGCTAGACCATGGTTCCAAAGCAGCCTGTATCGTCAGGATATGCTGCTTCACAGGCCCACGAGTTACATCAGCCACTAGCATAGTGAAAGATATGAAGGCCGGATCCAGAAGCCTTCGAGATATCTCAGACAATCTCGTCAGGCTATATTGCCCATGCCCTTCTTGCTTCCAGCGGTACCGCATCTGTAACCCGACAGTTATTCGCTTCAGATGCTGAATAATACTGTCTGCCACCAGGGCCAGAGAGCCGGCTTTCCTTGTTCCTCCCACTTGACGAAGATAGCCCTTTGGGACATCATCTATTTCCTTGCCCAAAGATCGAAATATGATGCGCCCGTCCCCAAAATTAAACAGGTGATCTAAGTCCTTGGCGAGCGTATACAGCTCCTGAGCAGGAGCAGAACTCTTAATCGCCCGAGTATATCCCAGGTCGTCTCTGTGAAATTGATCCCAGTCGACACAGTCCAGGAATGTACCTGTTTCGTCCTCAGGCCGTAAGTTGCTGTGGATACAGCGCCAGAGTTTTTCAGCAGCTGCCGTCGACTTATGTCTGTGGTCAGGCCCTCCACTCACGATGCCTCCATCTCCTCCTATCAAGGAGAGTCGCTTCTGCAGTGTCGCCACATCAAACATAGCTGGGTGCTCAGCCAAGGTCCTCAGGCACAGTGCTTTCAGGGCCTCACCAGCATGCTCTCCGACGCCAAGAGTTGGAGCACCTATCATAGGTGTTGTCAGGCAGCCTGTGCCGCTGTGCACAATATTGATGTTCATCATCAAAACTGTGTCATGGCGAGCTGTGAACCCTGTTCCGAGACTCACCGGGTCCATGACCAATGAGAAATCGGATGCCACGCCAGTAGATCTCAAAGGAGTGTCCCACAGGAATGCCTCCAGCTGCTTCAGCACCAATGATGAGGCCTGAATCGCCTCTTGAAAGAACCTACGGCCATGCAGCGCCGTCCCCACGTTGACGCCTGCAAGTTGCAGCCGGCAAACCTCACGTTCGTACGCGAGGCCGCTCTGCCCTTCGACCGCCGAAGAAATGGCACGTGCAACGACATGTCGCATGGCCACCTGAGCAGTGTCATTATCTTCAGGCGGCTGGTCATCAGGCTGAGGCTCAACTCCGCTGCTAGGATGTGCCCTCTGACTCTGCCCACCATATAGTTCCTCAGGCCTCCAGCTGTTGCTTTGAAGCTGATTCCATACACGGGTGACAGTCCGTGCTCCAAGTCCGAGGAGTTGGGACGCCATGTAGAAAGGCAAGGATTGGTGCTGGGTTCCAGTCTCTCCAGGCCTGATTTCAGACAGCATTTGCTTCGTTGTTGCTTTGTTAGCTGCACGTGCATTTGCTACCACATTGGCCACCAGCACCTGAGACTGCGGTTGCAAGCAACGAGTGCCAACCTGGGCAACATATTCTCCGCAATTCTGGCCCACTCGCCACGCCGCTCTGCCGCTCGGCTCAGGCTCCACTGTGGCTTCTTCAGGCAACTGCAAAGGCATGTCAGAAGGCGATATTCTGACTGAGCTGGCCATTGTCTGCTGTTGCGGCGCCTGCTCCAAAGCAGGACTGTCCTCATCTTCTATATCCAAAGGGATCTCTGGACCAGGGACTATTTCCAGCTCAGACTCCTCAGCACTACTTTCGGCCAAACGCCCTGACTGACCGCTTTCAGTGTCCGAAGCGGCCAGCATGGCCAACGCGGGGAGTTATCTAATGCATTCTGTTGAGGAACGTGTTGCGCCGATGGACAGGCTCTAAAGACCATAGCCTCTGAACTCTGAGCGTGTTCGTAGAGATTGGCTGGCAGATGGTGAAAGACAATGAATCACATGATGCATGAGAAGTAGGTAACAAGTCCTCGGAAGCCATGTAAGCCCGCGCCACTGCATTCCGAGTGCTCATGAGGCTGGGAAGTTCAACAGCTTTGTCAGACCTCTCAATCAAACTCTATGTTATAATCCAACAACTGCACGTCTCCAGCAAACAAATTCGCCAGCAATGCCCTGTCCGCGTTCTGCTCAGTCAAGTACCTGAGAACAAGCACACTAGCAAACAGCAAGAAATGCATATGCACGCACCTTCTGACGCATGCCAAAAGAAAATAGCTCTTTGCAATGTCACGGTAATTACCAAGAACATCTGGAAAATCCCCCTAGACAGAAAGCATGAGCTCAGTCAGAAAACGCAGGTCCAAGATCACAACTTTGGGAACAGGAAGAATGTAACTAAAACCGGTCGGTTAACGTGGAATTCGTGGAAGGTTGAATCCTGTGACTTCAATGCGATCACCGAGCGCTCCACAAACACCCCCACCCCTGACAATGGGACACGAACCCGCCCCTGAAACATTGCTTCACACCACCAAAGTGTGCCACAAATGTTCTTATGAATGTGCTCGAATATTCAGGCATCCTAATCCCGGGGTCGCCTCAACCCGATATAAAATCCAACACGGGGTTTAAAAAAGCAAGCACGCACCTGAAATCCACACAGCCTCTGTCCCATACGACCATGCCCTAGAGACGCTTCTCATTGTCATGCGCATAACAGTTGTGATTGACTCACAAGTTTGTTTGACTCAACTTCAGGCGCTTGACAACACCGATTCTTCAGTTTCGGTTCGACACGTCGCATACATGATGTCTGATGTTGCAACCACGTGGATGCTGTCTGCCGTGGCTGGCATTTAATCCCAGATTGCGGCCAACGCGTGACAAGTGTATGGCAGTGACTCTCAATAGCCATGTTCTCCACCAGTAGAATTTGTCCTCCCATTGCTTGGACATATCAAATCATTCGTCCTCAAGATTTTAAGGCCTAAAGGCTGAAAAGAAACTCTGAGCCCCTGAACCCATAATAGACCCCCATTCTTCAGGCTCTCCTTTGATGCGGTAGAGGCAGAATGCCGCACTGCAAACAGAAACCCTTGTAATCATGCAGACTAACATCGGTCTGGCAACACTCAGGGACATGGGTATAAAAACACAATGTAAGAAATTACGAGCGGGGCCAGGGATTTTTCAAGAATTTTCACTATAAGCTAATTCGCCCAATGCTCAAGGTCACAAAAATACCTAACTGACCAGACACGTGGGGGCTGTCAGAGCCTGAACCCTAAAACCTAAACCGAAATGCCAAACCCCTTAACTCCAAAACCCCTATACTAAACCTCGGACCAGTCGTGAACAAAACCTCAATTTCTTTCAACCCGAATCTCCCGCAATGATCTGACAGGGACCAGGCCTTTGCTTGCAGCTTCAGGCAGTTCCATACACACATGGACCTGCAAGCGGGCAGGACAGCACATGACATGTAAAGCCCGTCACTCTGGCACTGGTGGCATCTCTGTTTTTGCACGACGAAGCTTCAAGCAAGCAGGTGCAACAAAATGTGGGGGTCGTCACAGGACAACTGCGCCCAAGTGGAGCAATGCTACTGGGTCAGGCCACAAAGCGATTAAAGTTGCAGTACTAAGATCACAGCAAGATCGTACCTTTTACCTTTGGAGCCCAAGCCGCGCCAACCCAGGAGTTGCGGAGACATATTCAGACTGCAGTCTGCGCCTGAAGAATAGGAAAAAAGAGCTATGACTTGCTATCGCCTCAGTCAGACTGCCAGACCTTTGACAAGCTGCTACACTATCTATTCTACTAATGCCCTGCCAGGCAGCTATAAACACATCTGGACCCAAAGGATCTGCCAGAAACCTGAGGGGAATATGTGCCTAACTCTTGTCAGGCATTGGACTTTCAATCTCGGAGTGCTTGCGCTTCTTGAGCTCCTCAATGACCTTCTCCGACTTGTCTCTCTCAGCCTTGGCAATCTGGAGCGTTTCTTCGGCATCCTGAACCTTGGCTTTGGGAGCACCCGGAACATGAGCATGCAACTTGCACGTCTCGTACCATTGCTACTTTACTGCTGGCCTGGCAGCAGCGAAGTCCCACTCAAGCAAAATTTGCTTCTGCTGCTGCAAGTTTTTCTCGGCCATGACTTGATCAACGGTCTTCTCCGGAGTTGTCTCCACCATGACTCTAAACGTCATCGTGCTCCTTTCCATTTCCGCCATGACAGAGTCAGGCGGCAGACTTGTCCAGCTGAAGTCCATCAAAGGGGATTGCGACACGCCGCACCTCTGGAGGTACGGCAGGTAATGACTCGACCCCAGTCGGGTGATCTGCACACGCGACTCTGTGCCCAAGGTCAGGCACCATGATAGCAAGGCCAAGTCGGCGGCATCAGACAGCACAATTGTGGGGACTTCCTCGGGATTCAGCTTCTTCAGGCAATTGCGAAGCAAACAAATCCGCACTTTGTCCATCAACTTGCTGTCGCTCAGCACATAGTACTGCCACTGACACATCCGCACCGGCTCATGGCTGCTCGTCAGCAGGGCGTTCGGAGCCTCAGGCGCCTTCTCAGCAGGCGGCAAAGCGTCAGACTCAGACTGAGAAGTGCCAGCTCCAGCTGCAACAACCTCCTGCTCAGGCGTCTGCTGCGGCAGCTCCCACGCGACAGACACAACAGCCTTGAAGAATGTGTATGTCACGCCATGCTGGGCTGCCTCATGCTTGTGACTTCTGTACCAGCTTCGGTTCAGCGAGAACCTCAGACAACCCCGTGCAA